ATACAAAATTATATTTTTTAGCTCAAGTCTACAGTGTGGCCATCGATTCACGACGGGTGCGTGACCGCGCTTTTCGTGACAGGGGCCAAAAAGGTCTCCTCGCTGCTACTACTTCCCAAAGGCAAAGCAGGTTTCAACCAATCAAGCCTCATCATGGTCGCGCAAGAGAAATCGAATGACGAAATAATAGAGGGTGCACGTGACGGTCGATCATATATACGCATGCGTGTTGTCTCGTTTGTACGCAAAAAGAAAAAGTAAGTACAGAGAAGAGGGGAGAAGGAGAGAGAGAGACAGAAAGAGACAGAGAGACAGAGAGAGAGAGAGAAGGGAAAAACAACAGAGACGGCGGGCGGCAAGGCACGTGAAAGGGGGATGGAAAAAAGGGCGCCGCACAGTCTGTGATGGCAGTGGCGTGAGGCGCCTGGAAGTCCACTCTCGGTAGGAGTGCAGCGACTAACTAGTCCATAACCAGTCCGCACGCTAGTCCATAAGTGATATATTGGCACGTGAGACAAGAAGAAACCGGCGAGACCGGAGGCGGTTCGACCGGCGACCGCGAGGAAAGAGGGCAATTAACTCGCCGATGCGCGCGAGCACTCCATTTCGATAATACGATCATTATGCGAAATTGAACCCCTATCAGACGCGCCTTTCGTTTCTTGGCAATTCGATGTTCGATTGGGCCTAGCTTGATTTACGACGAGCTTACACAGTCTCGTCCGCGAGCTCTTCGATATCTTCCGTCCAATGCAGTAATTTGTACATATATAGTAAATAATTTTATTGAAATTAAAATATCGTTTTCAAGGCGCGCTATGAAAAACAATCTTTTGATATGTTACGATGAAAGCTTTTTCGTGTACTAAATGCACATCATCTATTAGTCGAGCACCCTCGAAACTTCCAATTTAGAGTTACTATCCAACCCATCGACCAAGTCTGGCACGGATGTAACGTTACACATGCTCTTCAACCACGTATCACGAACCACGGTCAATTAAAACAAGTAGATACCATACTATGTAACATGATTAACCAAAGTACCGCTAAAGTTTCGTGGTAAAGCATACCAGGCGAAATGTAACCAGTTTGACGTTACATCGAGCATACTCGTGCTTTTGCTCGCTGTACGCATGTCCGAATTTATGCAAACGACTTATCTTTCCGTCAAAAGACCGGAAAGAGCAACGAGGAAAGGAAGAGAGAGAGAGAGAGAGAGA